GGATGTGCTTAAGAAGGTCGGGTCCGCCTTTCTTCAGGACTTCTGCTGGGATACCGTCGGGCCCAGCAGCAGCCAGCAACACACACACACACACACACACACACACACACACACACACACACAGTGGGCGAGCTGACCAATCAGAGCACACTGGGCTCACAGGGAGGGGGGGGCAGGAGCTCCAACAAGCCGTGTAGGACAGAGAGTGAATACACACACCATACAGAGATGCTGTATGAGAAACCAATGTGAGTTTGGAACATTGAACAATGTAAATCTATTCTAGTAGACCTCAACAATGATGAATTATGATCAGTGGAAATGGCCATGACATTGGACCTTTAAAAGGACCTGCTGGTTTCTGGGAGTTTCTTCCAGATGTTTGGAGCATAATAACTGAACGCTGCTTCTCCATGTTTGGTTCTGACTCTGGTGACAGAAAGCAGACCAGTCCCTGAAGACCTGAGAGTTCTGGATGGTTCATATCGTAGCAGGAGATCACAAATGTATTTTGACCCTAAACCATTCAACGCTTTATAAACCAGCAGCAGTATAATGGTCTCAGGCCACCCCTTGGCCCAGAACTACAATAAGTCACTCAAAAAAATACATAGTAAGAGACTCAACATTAACACAAAGCAACATCAAAATGACCAACAGAGACTCATCAACTACAAAGAGATGCAGAAAGGCTGCAAAGTGACACAAAGACATTACCAACAACGAAAAAGGGCAAAACATTTACAAAGAGACACAAAAATAACCACAAAGAGACACCAAACATCAACAACAACAATAGGCCTAACACTATAAATTCTGTATGCCTTTCTCTTAAGTAGGAGAGGTGGTGGGGCCCCTCTTATAGTAAATCCATATCACAGACACATTCAACGAATGCTGAGTCATCAAACAGGACTTCTTTGTTCCACACATCTCTCTGAGTAAGGCTTACTTGATCTTCTGAAGGCATTCTCCGGGGGAAGAAGAAGTAGGGGATGGAGGTGAGGAAGAGGAAGCCGGCGGCGATGAGCAGGCCCAGCCACCAGGCTCCCACCCAGCGGGGGTCCGTCTGCCTCAGCTCCTGCTCTACTCCTGCACCAAACAGCATTTAACACCGTCAGCAGACACATCTCTCTAGCTATAACCAAATGGATGGAACGTTACATTACCAAAGCCAGTCTTGTCCACGTCCACATAGATCCGCAACATGACGGAGCCCAGCAGGTAGCCAATGGCAGGCCCGAACACAGACACTGCGAACAGGATTGCTGCGGATGATAGATGTGAGGAAGAGTTTCTGAAGGACTGCTGAGGGAGTCAGGTTTCTATATATTTGTTGTTATGTGTTATCAACATGTTATTCTTTGGCAAACAATGAACATTTAGTGCGAGTGTATTTTGGCTTTAAGAATCAATGGCCCTTAATTGGAAAAAAAAGAGTTTGAGGTTTCCATTATTCAAATCAATATCTAACCTGGTTCTATACGGTTCCACCTGCAGAGATAAAGCCAGGGCTGCTCTGAAGGGTTTGACCTATTTGTTTTCCGTTTTCTGTGTTTAAGAATATTTAGTCTTAAGTGGGAGTGTTCGTGCATTTTTTAAATGTTATTCCACAAAAGATTTGATTTGTCCGAACCCATTTATTTTACAATTAATTAACTTTTGTGTGTTAAAACTAATTATGATTACACAGTTTGAACAAAGTCATTATTTTGTGTTCTTTCTGAGGATCAATAAATATCAAATTATTATTGTTATTTCATTAATGATTATTTTTCACCAACAAAACGGAACTGCAAATCATTTTTGCTATCTGGGATATGAACCCTTAAACCCAATACCTGGATAACTTCCTTTAAATTCCAAGGTGACAAAATACTGTATATTGAAATAAATTGATTAAATTCTGTTTATTAAAAAGCTTTTTCAAAATGCAGGCTCACAGAGTGACCTTGGATAACTCTGAGCTACAGTACAGTTCACCTATGTAAAGAGGGGAGTTTCCGGGCCCGGCGAAGTCATCGATGTAGGAGATCCCAAAGGGCTGGATGGGTACGGAGCCCACCCCGAACAGCAGCTGGGCGCCGGCCATCAGCAGCCACAGCTTGTTGGAGTCGGCCAGGCGCCGGGTCTCGTCCCGCCCACAGGACTCTTCACTGGAGTTCCTCTGCAGGTTACAAATGTCATGGCGATCTGGATCACAGCGGGGGGAGAGAGGAAGAGAAGGGGGAAATCAAGTTAATGACAAGCCAGTGGAGGCAGAACTCCTTTCATTTCCTCAAGTTTCTCCTTTGTCTGGAGGCAACATTAAAGAGGAAAGAGGGACATTGTTATTATAAATGAAATGCCCTGAGAGGTAACTCTAATTCAGTTTTCTTTTGATCTATAGAAAGTTCAGCTAGAGATCATCAGCAGCACTTTGTGAATATTGCTGAAAAGTACAGAAAGCCAGATTCTGGCCACTTAAGATTGCAGCTTTGTAGACAAACTCCTTAAGTAAATTCTCATAAATTGCACTGACGTGTATTTGTACTCTCCTCTGGAGTCACGCTCGCTCTCACAGCCGTGGAGGCAGAGATATTGGTTCTGAGTCTTACTGTTTAGAACAGAGTCATATGCGTAGGGCTGGGATACAAAGTGAGGTAAGGTCAGCATCAAGGCGCTGACAGCCATCAGAAATCCTCCGATTCCAATCAAGCGAGGACGGTGGACCCGATTTCCAAAGTAGCTCACGAACACGATGAGCACACTGTTACTGATCTAGGAGAAAGAACAGAGGGCTGCTATCACATCCATCCTGTCACCCCCCGCCTTCAGTTAGCTCTCACAGTTTGCCAACATCACTAATGGACTCTTCAAACTAAATATGGACATGACCAAGGTTGCACTGTAATCTAAATGTACTGCATTAAACCAAGGCTAGTTCAAAATGAGTTTCAGAATTGTAGATGAAGCAATCAATTATGTAATTATTTAAAGAAAATGCAATCAAATTGCACTTGGCTGTTATAACACATTTCGATAATGTAACTTTTTCAATGGATAATGTTATGATGTAAACAAGTATGCCTTTTTTCTCTGCAGTTACTGTGAGCATCATGTGAGCCTGCTGAAAACTGTTGATGCTGATTCCATCTTTATAGATGTGAACTGGAGGCTGCAGTTATCTCTAATTCCTATAAATGATAACCAGAGGAAACCCGCCCATGCCCATTCTGATTGGTTGTTGCAATTAAATTACACCGGATCTCAGATGACATTGATCAGAAAACAGAAGCTGCAGGAGATAGTAATTTAACACTAAACTGTTCACTCTCCATCAAATATTATTTCCATTGCCTCGCTGATATCATTCAATGCCTGCATTGAGATAGCATTACAAATCAAATTTGAAATGAACAAAAAAGTTGACGCTATTAAAATTTTAAAGTCAAAATAATCGGAGAGACAAAAATAATTTGAAACATTTCAAGCTACTTGGACTGCTGGTTTGACCACTATGTGGCAGTATAAAGCTGTACACACTGAACTGATGTATCAACACCTTTTCAGTGTCCACCACTCCTGAGAGGAATATGTGACTCTTTAGTGTCTCAGTGCAGGGCCATTACACCCGAACAATGAACTGAAAGATGAGAGTGATTCTGTAATGCTGAGGAAGTGCAGAGACGGAGGACTATTTAGCGGTTCATCTCTGCATTACACGTAGATACATTAACATATGAATACCATAAACATCTATCATGCAGACCTGATTTCTTGAGGCTTTGTTTTATCTCTGTTTACATAAAATGTCCTTCAATTAAAAAGGATTTCCTAATTTCAAAATCCTGAAAGGATTCTAGCTTCAAAAGAATGTAATAACTGTAAACACTGCACCTACTAACATAGTGATATAAATAGGGCCTGGTGACCCTTGGTCATGCATACTTAAAACATGAAAACAACTGGACATCTTATCATCTCCTTGACAGTTTGATTCCATCTCTGTAATCAAACTGTGGCCTGACTCCAGGAAGTGTGATTGTGATATGTTGCTTGTTCTCCAGTTCCTCTTCCTTCATCAGTATCCTTGAAATAAAGCTATCATGATTTCAGGCTGTGAGGTGGTGTTATTCTTGGCTCCTACCTCGTGCAGGGAGGAAATGGTTCCTGAGGAGTAGCTGCTGAGACCGTAGCGTCTCTCGATGGTGCTAATGGTGCTCTTGAAGTAGGCGCTGTACAGCAGCTGGGACAGCTGCAGGAGGCCATGGCATAGGACGAACATCTGGACAGAGACAGGAGGCATGAGGCTCCAAAGCAGGTTATGGTCATACATATCATATAAACTGTACTGTGAGAGACACTAGTCTGTACTCACATAGACGCAGATCACCTTAAACTGTATAACAAAAACATTTTCTCAGGTTGGTTTCATTATTTTGCCTCTTGGATGTTTCCCCTCACATTCAGGTATGTGGGGAGATGAACTGGATGCGCTCCCGGTGATGTGGAGGAGCCACTCTGTGTGTCAGGAGGCGCTCACACTCACTTCGCTTGGGGGGTCATGAATGCCCCGAATGACGCTGAAGAGCCATGTTGAGATTAGGAGTGAATTGCTAAGAAAACAGAGATAAACCCAAGCTTTCAGTTGTTTACCGGCTGCCAGGTCGGCCAGGGGGAATAAACTACGAACTCCACTTTAGAACAGTTAATGCTCCCATTAAAGCTTGGCTTTATGGTTTGTCAGCACACAATAGACGCTTTTGCAAATATTTTCTCATATTTTTTTATTTTGGATCAAATGGATCAATTTTTTCAGGCAGGCAACGAGCCCCTTTTCTTTGTGAAGTAAATTCAAATCAAACATTAGAGGTGCAGAGTGTTCCTGTAACACAGCTTCAAGTCAATTTAAAATCCACTTCAAGATGTTGGTCTGATATTTGTTATTGCAGATAGCGCTGGTTAAAAAACATTAAATGTCAGAGACAAGTCTGGAAAACACGTCATCCAATGAAGTGCAAAATGTCAGTTTGAGAAAAGGCAAAGAGTTTTTTGCTTCCAATCAATACTAATGTCAGAATACAGCAGGACCATTTGTCTAGATGAAGAGATGTTGGACAGTGTTGAAACTTGGATGATATTCATCGAGATATAAATAGATCTATAGACAATAAAATGAGAAATAAAGGCAGCAAAATACAACCGGTGCAGAACGCTTCCGTGTTTCAACAGCATGTCACACTAGACGCAGGATTTATTATTTATCCTCACTGTTAACACAAGTGATTTAAAAGCCTATTTGTTCGTGCTGGTTCCAGAGTTGGATCGTCCATGGATTATGTACATATTTATCCTTTTCAAACACTCTCAGCTCCGTCTGTCTGAGCACCATTGTCCCAGCCTTCGCCCTGCTGTGAGGGGAAGAATGGAGGGAAGTTCACACTTGAGTTTCAAACGTCTTCATTTCAGCGACACGTGCGGTCACTATGATGCTGGATACAAATGTTTTTAGTTTTTTTGCAACAATATGCCTGACCTAGGCTACTTGGTAAAATAATAAAGGAAGCTTAGTGGAAGAAGTCTCTCACTTGAAAGGAGATAAAGCAACAGAATGACCTCCCTTCACTGTGGAAAAAGGAAACAGGATTTACTGCACAATAGATCAAAGGGTTCAATCTTTTTGGAAATAATGGTCGTAGAAAATCCAACCAACAAGTTTGATACAAAGCTGTTGATGATGAACATGTGCATATGTTGTGTACTGTAAACATGACATGTTGTGTACATGTAAACGGTTTACGATTTAGATGGGGGGGAAGGGGGCAGAGAGAAGTGTCTTTCTGAAGTCTTGTTGTCTGACAAATTACGCTGCAGCAGTCTGTATTTGTTTCCAGTGTGTTTGCTCAGCTAAGCTAACTTGCTGTTGGCATTAACCTTATCCTGGACCAATATACCCAGGTTCCCTTTCAAATATATGGCAAATTGTAAACACATTTCCTAAATCTGCAAAAGAAAAATGCAAATGATGTAAATGCAGGGCCGTCCCTGGCCAACTTGGGGCCCCAAGCGACTGATGTCGCGTTCACACCAAAAAGAGTACTTAGTGCCGGGAACTTTTACCCCCATGTGTAGTGCCTTCTAGAGAGGTGGTACCAAAAAAGTACCAACAAAGTACCAATTTCTATTGGCTGGGCGAATTCCAAAACACGTAAAACTCTGAAACGTTTTTTGAAGCCGCCATTGTATTTGCTGGCATTAGCATTATTAGCATTAGCATTATCACTCTCCCTCCTGTACATTAGCAGATACTGCGCGGAGAGCTGCGCTGAGAGCATGGGGCCTCACATTGGATGATCGGCCTGTGGGGAGGGACGGCCCTGCACTAATGCATCACATGGTTAACCAGTGCAAAGAGATGAAACCCAAAGCAGAAGAAGAGTGTGCAACAAGAGGACGTGATTAAAAGAGATGAACCTCAAATGGCAAAAACATGACAATAGACCTTTCTGATTGTTTGGTGTCTTGGTGTGAGGAAGGTGGATGTTGATTTCAAATTCTGTTTCCATAGAAACGGTTTGTCACATGTTGCCTTTTTTTCATTTCTAACTTTTCCACGTCAGCTAAGCATACAAACTTGTTTGCAATATGTTAGTATCTTTGCACATTGTTGCATTTCCACTGAGGATTTTTTAAGCGCAAATTGAAATTGCATACGCTGTGACACAGCTCTGAACGTGATCTGAACATGCTCGGTGCGCTGAGGTGAGGAGAGAATTGAAGCTTGCATATCCCGAGGTTCAGAGTGTGATCATAGTGCACCCGCAGCACAAACTTGGCTGGATATGGCACAGATATCCAAAAGGAGAATTTGATAGTGTAACCCTGGTGCAGACTAGGTGTAGCCCACGGAAGATAAGTACAACGCTGCTGTGCTCACAATGTCCTGCAAATAGAGGGCCAAAAGCTGTACGGCATGTAGACCTACCACTGTCAAGAATAGATGGATATGATCTGTGTGAAACTGTTGTTTTCAGCCCGACTCTGAAGGTATTCGGTTTCGTGCGCCAAGCAACTCGGACAATTTTCAAATCTTTAATTGCAACTGCTGGACAGGAGGTCAACAGTGACCCAGAGTTCTGGCTGGAAACTTTGACTTAATTTTACCTGCATGCTGCTTTGATTCAGAACTACTCCCACTCTGTCAATATACACAGCTTTGAACTTCAGGTGCATTCAAACTGTGCAGGATGGGCGAAATTCCACTGAGAACACTCAGTCTGGCTGATGTGATCATGTCCGTTTCACTGCCCCCACCCTCTCTGTATTTGTACACCTTGGTATCAACAGAGCAGGGGCTTTAAAGTGAACACTTTAATGATCAACAGGAAAGGATTTGCAGAAAGTAGACCCACCACAGTCTGCGTAAGAGGGAAAGGTTTTTCATCACCTTCTGGAAATGTGAAAGTTGCTTAGGTCTCGTCCGAACTGTCAGAACATAGTGTTAGTCATGCTTCATTTACACCAACGAAGAAGACATGTCATTTCTCGCTGAGTTTTGCCTCCTTATTACTCACAGCCCTGAACAAAGTGTTTCTCTTCCATTATTACCATAAAGTGAAGCACAGGGTATATTGGGGGGGGGGGGCATTTCTCCCACCAGTCAGTTTTCACTGAGACTTCTAATATTACAGCCAGAGGTGCACTGGATACAGCAGCCAAACAAAAAAAACTTGAGTCAAGACTGACACCTATGTTTTATGATAGAAATACAAAACTGTGTCCAACAAAGTCTCAAGGTGCAATGATGAGTCAATTTGACAGAAAACTTGTTAGAAACTCATCTGATGTTATTGAGGCATTTTCTAAGCAAAACAACTTTATCTGGTGTGAGGAATTTCAAGTGTGAGTATGTGATGCTTTATTTGATACCTTCATTACTGTAATTCATCTGTGATCCTTTCTGATGATTAACAGACCACAATCATAAAAGGAAACACAAATCATCAGTTTCATCGTTTTTTTTCTTTTGTTCAATTTCCATAGTCCTACGTTTAATTTGGCATTATGACTAATCTTTAAAACGTTAAATGATTAGTGGAGGTAACATAAGTCATACATCTTTTGACTTTAAAAGCAAAGCGAACATTTTGTTCGTTTTAAAATTGATTTAAAAAATAATGAAAAATCTGAGCTATTCCACCTAAAGTTGTTGCAGACACCAATAGGCCTACATTGAATATTTTAAAGCTATAAAGCCCTTTGCCTCACCTGGGGTGCACGAAGCTTTATTTGCTCTTAGGCAACACTACACATAATACTGCGCTCATGTGTTCTGAGAAAAAAGAACAACGAAAGAACTTGTCTTTTTGTTTCTTGGAATTATTATAATCTTTGAAACGTTAAATCTTCTAAAAACATTTCCAGCCCGTGTTCCAGAAGCAGTGAAACATTCCCGGTCAGCCTACCTTAATGTTGCGGCTCAGCCTCTTTTTCGTGTGTTTGGGGCAGACTTTGTCCATGGTCCCGCTCTCGGTCTGTGTGCTCGCGTTCACTGACGGCTTCTTATGACTGCTGCTGGTGATGTAATTACTCTCTCTCCATGCGCAATTGTTTTTGAAAGTTCTGAATTGAGAACAGACAGTCCTCGCGCTGATTGGCTGAGTCACGTTCGCGCGAGCGTGTGCAACACACCTGGGAGAGCAGTGACTCATGGAGAGATTAGACTGGTCTTCTTCTCCATTCATTTAAAGTAGTGTCAGTGTGAATAGTTCGTATGGTTTCAGATGCCCTGCACTCAGCAGCTCAACAGGCTTAATGTTTCATTACGTTTGGAATGCGGCCCACTAATGAGTGAAGGCCAGAGAGAGGACTCTTCGGGGGATAATTATATTATAAATAGTTATGATCTAAGGAGCGTTTTTGACTACTTCATGTGGTAACTTATCCAAGTTATTTTCCTCCATCTTTTTTCATCGTAATAAAAAACGTCATGTGGTAACTAATCCAAGTATCAACATTCAACATTAATGTGACCTTATTCATTTCTATTACTTTTGATTACCTCAATATAAAATAGTAAAATACTTCAATACAATGTTTTTGACCTAAGTGTATTATGTAAGAAATAGAACAAGGTGACCTTAGAAAAGAAGAAACCAAGATATTTAGGACCACAATTATTTTATTTATAGGAAAAGCTGCTTTTCATGAAGCATATTCAGGCAGGAGCCTACACACCAACGCTGAGACACATGAGCACATACTACAGTTTAAAAAGCACAGCCACCTCTGTAATGCCGTAATGACAATCTGAATAACCTATAACCAAGTACCTCGAAATAATGACTTTGTATCTAACTTGTTATTTTTGAGATACTATGAGTCAATATTTTTTAAACATTTAAAATTGATTTACGGATGTTTGTCATTATTTAGAGATGCTAATGATTTTGTTATGAGTCCAAGTTATCGTCTTATTTTTCTTTCTTTTACTGGCATAAATGGGCTTCCAAATTCAAACTAAAAGACAGAACACCGCTAAAAGGGCTAAAACCACAATCCCTAATGTATGGATATAATGTATGAATAGCACTGTCAATAATGCCATTTTAATAAATGCCAAATCTTTATCTTTAAATGTGTGTTGGCCTGCAAGTAGTCAGCTTTAAATGTATTTAATCAAACAATGCTGGAAATACACAACATGATTTTTCACTAGGGGATTCTGACCTGTTGTAGCGGGGAAAGCAAAGGTTTACTATAATAACATTAAAGATGGCTCTGTTCCTTTCAAGTGTCCCAGCAAATCCTGACAGTGCGACAATGATTCAGACAAAATAACAGGACCCTTCAACTGAAGCTAAATGGAATTCAGCCATCACTCATTTCATTATTTACAACCTTTTTCTTTCGAGTGACAAGTGAAAATGCAAAAAGTTGATTAACCCCACTGTGAAGGTTTTTAATTACGAACTCCCCCGAGGTGGTTGATAACCCTATGAAAGCCATTTCGCAGAAGACTCATGCTTATGTCATGTCGTGAAGTCCTGTATGAAAGGACCAGACACGGTGTTGTGTGGTCTGGATTTGTAGCAGCATCTCCTCTCAGTTCCTGAAACAACTTCCTTAAACATCCTTTCCACTGAATGTGACGCATTGCCTCCAGGCTGTTTGTAGTATGTCTGAACCATAATAACATGTGCTTATTCTACGAACGTGACGCAACAGTCAAAGTCATAAATCACCATGATGTACAGAAACCTTTCAAAGTAAAATAAATAAAGTGATTGAGGGCGAACGTGCTGAGCTTTATGTTTCTACACCAATGACTGCTGTTTTGAGGGATCACAATACATTATAAAGTAATATCGCAGCTCTTATGATGCACTGTGCAACTAAATACGATGTTGATATGGGTCATAAAGTCAAATATGATTCAATACACCAAACGCTGAGTTCTCTTTCACCGTTGCTAAATCTACGCAGATAACCGAGTAAACACCAGAGTATTGTGACGACAGACAACTTCCACTTACTCAAGATGTCTTGCATCTGCATTGCATTATTGTCTACTTCGACAACACGGAACTGTTCAGAACTGACACTGGCTCTTTGTGACGGATGACCGATATTTTTGAAAGGATGTCGTCTTCCAACTCTGCCGAGCGGCTATCCCGACGTGGGTTCACATCACTGAAGAAAGATGTTCCAAAGAAAATGAGAACATTGCACCAACCAAATATAAAAAAAGAATATAATTGAAACACAAGAGACATTGGAAAGAAATTGCAACATTTAGATATCATTAAACTGCATAATGTTTATGGTGTTTCACTTACATTCATTGATCATGTAGACAGCTTGGAGTAGAAGAAACATTTGATCTTGTTTTTAAATGTTAAAAAATTATATCTTAGTCAATATCCAAGTGTGTTTAAAGAGATGGTTTAGATTGATTTGAAGTAGGTTAGTTTGAGGTACTTAACCACACTCACTGTTAGAACTGAAGCTGTTATTTATTCTTCTAACCATCAGGCTCCATTGACAAAAACAGTCGTTTGGTTTTTCAGAAGACCTGGTACTCCTTCATTCCGACTGTCACCTCCTGTATGTTCAAACTGACTATCGAGTAGGACCTCATACAACCCCACTCCAAAAACACTTAGTCTGTCCCTTTAAGGTTGATTTCCCCTCCCCAAGTCTTGCAGCAGATGCAAATGCATTCCACAAATATAATTTGTTGCATGAAAGGACAATGGCTTGTAGAACAGGGGATTTGAAGTATTCTGGACAACATTTGACTTTTCATAACTTTCCATTACAACATCATGAAGAAGTGCAGTGTTCCTGTGACCTCAACTACAGCATAAATCTAAAAGCAAAACAAAAGTGTCTTGAAACTGAGGAAATACATATTGCAAACACATGGATGCTTATCTGGTAACTCAGCTACTTCAGCATCACCAGTTTAAGCTTTCCCTCATTTGGCTCCTTTCCCATCAAACGGAGGTGTTGGAGCTCTGCAGGAGGAACAGAGAAACCTTCTTGTACCAAAACACTGGGCTTCAGGTGCGGCTACAGATGACTGTGGTGTCAGGTGCCTCAAACAAAGACAAGAGCTTTGCTTCAATTCATCAGCATAAACTGTACCAATACACTGCAGGCTTTTGATGTGAAAAAGTGAAATGACGTAGACATTCTAAAATCCCATTTAATTTGTGGATATGAAATCGGGAAGCAGTTTAAAACCTTAATCCAACATGCAGTGACCATAGAGACACATCACAAAGATGTTAAAGGTGGAAGAATAAGATCAGACCGAGCTGGTGGCAGTTTGTGTGTTCACAGTGATTATTAGAAAATAAAATCAGTCAAAAGAATCCTGTGAAGGTTTTTGTTTTGTTCTGACGCAGAACAGTCAAGCTTATGAAATAGACACGTTGAGATAGTTTGGAGGTTCAGATAGAAAGAAAATGTACAAAAGAGGAATAAGGTGGTGACAATAAAATAATAATAGTGTCCACAATTCACTTTGATTTATAAAAAGAAATCAAGGTCATAAATGTAGCTTTGCAATGCTGATTTAGGAAAAGCTGAAGCGTCCATCCGTTAGATCAACGAGGAAAAGTCTTTAGTGTGATCCGGAGGAAACGTGTACCTTCAGGAAGAACTCCTCTCCACAGAGGCTCCTCGTACCAAAGCCCCCCCAAAGCATACCAACACAGCTTTAGGTCTATCCACAACACATCTACACTGTGTCACTAAAATACAAAGCTGTAGAAAATACTGTCTTTGAAACCAGGTTGTTGGAGACATACATTGTTCTATAAAAGAATGGGTCCGCTGGCACATAAATGTCCGGGAATGCAGGTGGAGCACTGTATTGCCATCACTTCTACACTGAACAAAAATATAAACGCAATACTTTTGTTTTAGCTCCCATTTTTCATGAGATGAACTCAAAGATCTAAAACATTTTCTACATACACAAAATAACCATTTCTCTCAAATATTGTTCACAAATCAGAAAAAATCTGTGATAGTGAGCACTTCTCCTTTGCCGAGATAATCCATCCCACCTCACAGGTGTGGCATATCAAGATGCTGATTAGACAGCATGATTATTGCACAGGTTTGCCTTAGGCTGGCCACAATAAAAGGCCACTCTGAAACGTGCATTTTTGCTTTATTGGGGGGGTCTGGGGGGGTCCGAAAACCAGTCAGTATCTGGTGAGAGGGTTAGGATTAGGGTTAGGTTTAGGGTTAGGGTAATGTTGTGAATCGAGTGGCCTGTGTTCGTCGTCCATAACATAAGCCTGCCCATACCATAACCCCACCACCACCATGGGCCACTCGATTCACAACATTACCCTAACCCTCACACCAGATACTGACTGGTTTTTCGG